ATCGACAAATAAAAGGCGTATCGTGAAATGATAGGGGTATCGTCAATTGAAAGGCGTAGCGACCCTTCCCGGCCCCCGGGGACAAACTTTCGATTTTCAACCCCCCCCCCCCCCCACCCTCAAGATTTCGATTCGCACAACCCTCAAGCTTTCAATTTATTTTTCCAACCCATTTTGGCGCCCCCTAAGGTCGGCGCCCGGGGACATATGTCGTCCCCCCCCCTACGCCCCACCCCTCACTACGCCTCTGGGTATCGTTAAATAAAGGGGGCATTGTTGAAGTATGTAGATCGGCAATAGTTGTATAGCTGGGAAGGTAAGGGCAACTTACGTCTAAACCTATACATTGTTTTATGTGTGTACGGCTAATCAACATGAACAAACTACATCGGGCCTTGATGCTTTTACTACGACAGGTGTGCTTGTACCACTTTTGGCTTAAACCCGGATACAAAAGTATCTTGTTTCATTTTAGCCACTATACACAATCAAACTAAACCTGGCTAGGATATTTTTCTTTGCGAATTTTTTTTTTTTAAATACAGAAACCTTCCGCTTTAACAATGGCAATAATACAATAAGCCTAACACGTGACGTAGGTCATCATGACCTGACATAATATACTCAAACTATAACTTTCATGTACACCACAGCAACACTGGTATAACTTTCAGACAGCTGTCTCGTATCACCCTCTGTACTGTCACCAACACACTCCAGTGTGTATGGTGTGGAGACTTGTATGACCATACAGCACTTCACCTTCTGTATCACACTCCATCCCCTATCACGTTAGCACTCCATCATCAAATGGCACTTCACCCACGTACCATTTGACACTCCACCCACGTACCATTTGACACTCCACCTACCTTTTACCTTAATACTCCGCCAAATTATCATTCGACACTCCACCCCCCCCCCCCCCATCACTCGACTCCACCCACCCATTACCAGTAAGCTTCACCAACTATCATTCGACACTCCACCCACCTATCACTTCAGTACTCCACCTGTCTGTTACCAAAAGACTCCGCCCACTATCACCTTAGGACTCCACCCACCTACCATTCGACACTCCACCCACTCATTAACTTAAAACACCACCCACCTGTCATCTTACTTAACACCTACCATTCCTCTCACCCCCTCACCACACTCTGTACGACAACAACACCACAACATCACAGCATCATACAGATAATCTTTTTTACGTTGTACTTAGACAAACCACTACCACAAGAAAACTAATCTCCCCTCACCACGCCACACATCACCACCCCACATACCACCACACATCACCACACATCACCACACATCACCACTCCACACATCACCACCCCACACATTACCACACATCACCACACATCACCACACATTACCACACATCACCACACATCACCATCCCACACACCACCACCCCACACATCACCACCCCACACATGACCACCCCACACATCACCACACATCACCACACATCACCACACATCACACCCCCACACACCACCACACCACCACCCCACACATCACCACCCCACACACCACCACCCCACACATCACCACCCCACACATCACCACCCCACACATCACCACCCCACACACCACCACACCACACATCACCACACAACACCACACATCACCACACATCACCACACCAGACTTAGTCCTAGCCTATCTGACTAATGCCGATAATGACCTAATAAAAAGCATGAGCCTGGCCACATTTTGAGCTACACGTAGCTTGTCTGTAGACAGACGCCCATCCATCACAAGCCAGTTAAATCCGATGTTCGGAAATTTTTTTTAAATCACTATTAAAAATTTCATGGTAAAAGATATCGCTAGTCTTAAAAAAATAATGTTTTTGTTTCTTAAAATATTTTCCAACACAATATTTAAAAAAAAAAAAGCAATTGCTTTGATTATCTCCCATGAAAAAGGAATGACAATATTTTATTTTTTTATTGTGCGCAAACAAAAAAAAAACATATCCCTTGAAATAAATTATTCAATCAGCCTTTATTTTAGATCTTGGTTGATATTAAATTCGATTGAAATTTTTTTTTATCAAGTCCTTAGTCTATAAGCCACTATAGATCATCCGCTTATTATATAACACAGTGTTTCAAGTGGGCGTTTATTCATTTGTTTTATCATTAATATTTCGTTATATTATAATAAAATGTGTTATATAAGGGACATAATGAGCTCGATTGAAAAAATGTATCAAAGTAGTTGAAGTAAAAAAGGAAAGTTCTGTTTTCCAACCTGACGGTCTATGAGGCAAAGGAAGTAGAGTTCACCTGTTTCTGTGACCTCGGCATATGAAGGGATAGTGTACTCAGTACTAAGCACAGCCGCTTTTAATATAACTAACGTGAGTTGGGTACCCATCAGAGCTGAGTGTACTCAGGACGTTTTGCTGATTGAACCCGGATTCGAACTCGAGACTTTCGGATTAGCAGTCAAGCGCTCTACCGCTAGGCCACGCATTCCCATATCAAAGTAGTTAAGACACGTCGTATGACATGAGTTTGAGTAAGGTGTCAGCATGACAACACAGCAGTCTGAATCATAATTTGGGTACAATCTACTCAAACGTCTATTGTGTGATGTGTATGGGTAACCTCCCCTCCCCATACAGTATCAGTCTCCTCCCATTATATAGAAACTTCCTCTCCACACTTTACATTAATTTAATTAACCATACTGTTCATTAACTGTCTTTCTTAATCGCCTTTTTGCCTTCTCTACCATTGGTAATCAAACTTTCCTTCACATTTCAAATCAACCTTCTTTTCTAATCAACCTCCTCTCCTAATCAACTGTGCCTCTTCTCACTTTCAATGTACCTCCTCCGCTCAATTCTTATCAACCTCCTCTCCTAATCAACCTCTAATCCTAATCAACCTCCTCTCCTAATCAACCTCCAATCCTAATCAACCTCCTCTCCTAATCAACCTCCAAAATCCTAATCAACCTCCTCTCCTAAACAACCTCCAAAATCCTAATCAACCTCCTCTCCTAATCAACCTCCTCTCCTAATCAACCTCCTCTCCTAATCAACCTCCAAAATACTAATCAACCTCCTCTCCTAATCAACCTCCAAAATCCTAATCAACCTCCTCTCCTAATCATCCTCCTTCCTAATTAACCTCCTCTCCTAATCAACCTCCAATCCTAATCAACCTCCTTTCTTAATCAACCTTCTTTCTTGATCAACATCCTTTCCTAAACAACCTCCTTTCCTAATCAACCACCTTTCCTAATCAACCTTCTCTCCTAATCAACCTCCAATCATAATCAACCTCCAATCACAATCAACCTCCTTTCCTAAACAACCTCCTTTCCTAATCGATCTCCTTTCCCAATTAACCTCCCTTCCTAATCAACCTCCTCACCCAATCAACCTCCAATCCTAATCTATCCCCTCTTCTCACTCCCGATCAACTTCCTTTCCTTAACTCATCAACTCCTCCCACTACATCTCTGCCCTACCACTCAACCATTCTCCCCTTCCTCCCTCCCCCCCTTATCCACCTTCCTCTTATTGCAAACAACACCCACCCTACACCAAACGTCACATTTCACTGTCACCTCGACCTCCAAGCCTGCTATCTCAAATCTCCACCCCCACCCCCCACCCCCCAGTTATCACCATCGTGTCACCTTTTTATCACCCTCTTCATCAATCAATAACGTCGGTGTTGGTGTCTAATCAATAAGTCCTTAGAGAAATTCAACACAAAGCCACCTAGGCTATCGGCTGAAGTGGGAAATTGAGATGGTCTATGTATCACTTTTTATCAGTGTTCTGTCATGAGCTAAGTGTTTTATTATTTTTTTTTGTCTTATCGTACAATACTTCGCGGGTTTTTAAATAAACGGTAATTTGTGTTCATGCATGAATAAAGAGTGGAAATAATGCAGAGCAAATTATCCCTTCATAGGCCGAGGTCACAGAAACAGGTGAACTCTATTTCTCTTGCACAAGAACCGTCAGGTTCCAAAAGGGAACTTTACTTTAACTTTTTTCTTTTACTACAAATAAAGTTATAAATAGATCGTATCACACATTAAAAGGGGGATTGAATGTGTCCAAGCGCCCAGGGAAATAAATATAAGCGGCCCCTTTCCAGTTTAAATTTTCTTGGTGCTTTTTTTTCAACCAATCCTGTGTCATAGGTCGCTTACAAATTACAATATACAAAAATAACAAACGGGCTCACGGCAGTTTCTAGGCCAGTGGTTTTTAACCTTTTTGGAGATACCGAACCTCACAAGTTTCATATGCCCATTCAACAAACCTTTCCTAATAGTTATATCGTCCGCACTGACAAAGTCAGATCGTGAATCGTATGAGTCAGGTATGTGTCTTGACCTCCGTCGAACTCCTTAGTCTGACTCACCGAACTACTGGGACTCCATTGAACCCAGGTTAAGAACCACTGATTTGGGACGTCATTGAGTCCACCCAGCTCTGATGGGTACCTGAACGTGTTTGATATTTTGAAAAAAAAAAGTGAAAAAAAAAAACAAACTTGGGATTCAAACATTTAAAAAAATGTTCTTATAATAAAAGTAAAAGCGGCTGGGCATAGTGCTGACAACACTGCCTCTTCATATGCAGAGGTCAAAAAACTATTATGAACTCTGGTCAATGGATCGCGATATCTGAACAAGTACTTGTACTTTTCATTAGTAAAAAGATAGGTTATGAAGTCTTTAAAAAAAGATGTAGTAATAATTCGTAAACTTTAAAACTCAGCAGCGAAGAGTAGTAGGCCTATATTTTACGGACATCACGTAGTAGCCCTTTCCCAAGCGGATTTAATGTTGCTCTATTTTTAGCATTATGGACATAGTTATGAATGCCCAGCCGACGCCGATATAGGAAACAATCTATATCCAAGTGCTTAGTTATTAAAGTCTAACATTAGTCTAGCTTCGTTGTGTTGTTATTTACATTCAGATGCATTAATGTGACTTATCTTCCACAGTATAGAGAGAGCGAGTATTCCGAAAGGGCAACATGACCGCTAAAAATAAAAAGAAAGATGGCGGCGGAGACGCTAAAGCCAGAAATGGCGGGAAAAACGGAAAGGTCAACGGGAAGGAGCAGGGGAAACTCCTGAAGGACGAGAAGAAGCAGATTCGTCAGAGGCGGGACTCAGAGGACTCTCAGGTGAGACCCCACCCCCACCTCTACCCCCCAATCCGACACACATTTTCTTCCCGTCCATGGAATATATCCCTGGGTTTTATTGTGTCAGTGTTTTGTTGTGTCAGTGTTTTGTCAGTAAGCCATAAGTGTGTTGTCCTTTTTAATGTTACGGCCCTAGCTTTGCTCCATTTCGTAGGTGAAGTAGAGTTTATTTCTTCAATGGTCAGGAATCGTCCCTAAGATATCATGTCGGCAGCTAAAAGAACCATAAGCTTATACTTTCCCTCTAACATATTTTGGTTACTTACAAATGCTAGGTGTGGACTCACGAAAATGATTTAAAGGGTTCTGAGTCACATTAATATGAAACCATAGAGTAGGTTTATAACGTGGTTTACCCACAAGGGTCGGCGTGGTCAAGTCGGTAAAGCTCATGGCTGCTAAACCAAAAAGTCCCGAGTTCTAACACCCGGGCAGATGAGACCCGATAGCCGGGGACAGCCACTCCTATGGGAGAGACAACTCCAAAATCAAACAACTGCTGCCTTGTAGTTTGTTTTTGGTTGGACAAAGGCTATGGAAGCAAATCCAAAAAGAAAAGCAGGCTAAAACTGGAGTCAATGGCCTCAATGGCGCATAACAAGTAAACACGTAATAGTGTTGGAAGGAATGTTGTCCAACATTACAATTAAGAACGAAGAAGAAGAAGTGGTTTATCCATCGAACTAGATTCACCAAACGTGTTCTAAGCTGACGTCATGTTTTGCAGGTGTCCTTTGAGAGTGTGGAGGACTACATCCCCACCCCACCCGATGGGGGCTGGGGCTGGGTCATCGTCTGCTCCTCCGTCTTCTGCAACCTCATTGTGGATGGCATCGGGTACAGTTTTGGTGTTTTCTTGCAGGAGTTTGTGGAGTATTTCAAGGTAGGTTGGGGTGGTTTTAAGGTAGGTTGGGGTGGTTTTAAGGTAGGTTGGGGAGGTTTTAAGGTAGGTTGGGGTGGTTTTAAGGTAGGTTGGGGTGGTTTTAAGGTAGGTTGGGGTGGTTTTAAGGTAGGTTGGGGAGGTTTTAAGGTAGGTTGGGGAGGTTTTAAGGTAGGTTGGGGTGGTTTTAAGGTAGGTTGGGGTGGTTTTAAGGTTGGTTGGGGGTGGTTTTAAGGTTGGTTGGGGTGGTTTTAAGGTAGGTTGGGGTGGTTTTAAGGTAGGTTGGGGTGGTTTTAAGGTAGGTTGGGGTGGTTTTGAGGTAGGTTGGGGTGGTTTTAAGGTAGGTTGGGGTGGTTTTAAGGTAGGTTGGGGTGGTTTTAAGATAGGTTGGGGTGGTTTTAAGGTAGGTTGGGGTGGTTTTAAGGTAGGTTGGGGTGGTTTTAAGGTAGGTTGGGTGGTTTTAAGGTAGGTTGGGTGGTTTTAAGGTAGGTTGGGGTGGTTTTAAGGTAGGTTGTGGTGGTTTTAAGGTAGGTTGGGGTGGTTTTAAGGTAGGTTGGGGGTGGTTTTAAGGTAGGTTGGGGTGGTTTTAAGGTAGGTTGGGGAGGTTTTAAGGTAGGTTGGGGTGGTTTTAAGGTAGGTTGGGGTGGTTTTAAGTTAGGTTGGGGGTGGTTTTAAGGTAGGTTGGGGAGGTTTTAAGGTAGGTTGGGGAGGTTTTAAGGTAGGTTGGGGAGGTTTTAAGGTAGGTTGGGGTGGTTTTAAGGTAGGTTGGGGTGGTTTTAAGGTTGGTTGGGGGTGGTTTTAAGGTTGGTTGGGGTGGTTTTAAGGTAGGTTGGGGTGGTTTTAAGGTAGGTTGGGGTGGTTTTAAGGTAGGTTGGGGTGGTTTTAAGGTAGGTTGGGGTGGTTTTAAGGTAGGTTGGGGTGGTTTTAAGGTAGGTTGGGGTGGTTTTAAGGTAGGTTGGGGTGGTTTTAAGGTAGGTTGGGTGGTTTTAAGGTAGGTTGGGTGGTTTTAAGGTAGGTTGGGGTGGTTTTAAGGTAGGTTGTGGTGGTTTTAAGGTAGGTTGTGGTGGTTTTAAGGTAGGTTGGGGTGGTTTTAAGGTAGGTTGGGGTGGTTTTAAGGTAGGTTGGGGGATGGTGATTTTAAGGTTAGTTGGAGGGTATTTTGAGGTAGGCTGGGGGTGTTTTAAGGTAGGTAGGTGTGTGTGTGTGGGGGGGGGGGGGTATATTAAGGTAGGTTGGGCGGGGGGGTTATTTAAGGTAGGTTGGGGGGGTATTTTAAGGTAGGTTTGGGGTATTTTAAAGTAGTTGGGGGGTATTTTAAGGTAGGTTGGGGGGGGGGGGTATTTTAAGAGTAAAGGAAGCTTGAGCGGTGGGTGGGTGAAGGGTGAGGGGTGTTTAAGTGATAGTGTATGTGTGTGTGTCGAAGGGAGAGCACAGCATCACTTCGGGGAGTCATATCTTTAATATAACAGACGAGCCGGCCCGCGGCATATCATACGCCGCTATTTAGTTGTTGTATTTTCTACTTTTCAGTAATTCAAAATTTGTGAATTCGACGGTACCAATGCTGCCACTGAAAATATTTTCTTTAAAACACTGTCAGTAGGTCGTTAAGAACGATACTACCCCCACCCGCCTTTCCCCCAACCCCTACCCTACATCCCCCCCCCCCCCCCCCGTGAAAACAGCCTCTTCTTAGTTACCTCCCCTAAGTTTAAAATCGTTTCAAACTAATAGCCGTCACTCTACGATTGTAAACATTTAGCGTGAACCACAGCTCACCAGACCATGTAGGGGTCGGGTGGTAGAGAGCGCGCTTACAGCTTGTTTTCTAGCGTCTCCCAGAAGAGAATTATATATATAGATACGTACATATGGTAAGGGGGATAAATCAGAATAGCTCAGGGAACTGATAGGGGAATAAACTACGTCAAAAACTGACATACTAGTTGCTTATATAAACAGAGAATGTGTGGATATAACAAAGAGCTGAATATATATAACCTAGCTACAATTCAGCCACTTTTAAACTTAACGAAATCTCTGAAAAACATTTTTTTTTTTTTTTATAAATGAACTTGAACAAAATTTCCCGTTCTGTGAATTTCCTCTGAGGCTTAGGTCAAGCGTTAAAAATGTAAAATCGATAACAATAGTTTCTTTAAGGCCATGAAAGATTTGTAGGGAGGCGTTTATCTTTTTTTTTTACAAATTTTAAATTGCTGTCTCCACATTTTTCCTCCTCACACACACACACACACACACACACACACACACACACACACACATATATATATATATATATATATATATATATATATATATATATATATATATATATAAATATATATTAACATAATTTATAAATTTATATAATAATGTATAGCCAATATTTTTAATAAGTGTACTCTATAGTTGTCCGGTTTCCTTTCTAGCATTATTATTTATTTCGTCCTTTGCCAGCGAATTTCTGGAATTTTCTAGAATAATTTGCGTTTTTCCCACTTTGTGTCAATCATTTTTCTCATTTGATAATGTATTGTCCTGCTTGTCTTGATAAAGAACCAATAGTTTTAAAGAACAGTTAACAAGATCAAGAAACAAATGACCAAATCGTCAAATTTCTTTTAGACAAGAAGCGTTTTTTTTCAGGCTTCTCTTCGGGGAAACATCGTCCCGCCCCCCCCCCCCCCTCCCCAACCCCCATCAAACCACGTCTACCAACACCCCCCCCCTTTCCAACGAAATAGAATTTATATAGAAAATATATACTTTTACCCTTCACCGCCCCTCGCCCCTCGGAAAATTAGTCCCCCAGAAGAAAGTTTCAAGTGCCCCGATATCCCCCTCCCGGTAGAAAAAATGTCTGAAAGAAACACTACACACAAATCCACCCACCCGCCAACAAAATTGGAATCTTCTCCACAAAATCTAAATAAACGGACGCCTTTATCAACGGATGTCACCTTTGACATTTACCATATTTTTTTCAATACCAGACGTCTTCTCATTTCGCTTTTGTTGGATTGGAGAAAAAAAAAATTTGGTCCCAACATTTTAATAGACACGGCGAGATGAATGATTGACGTTTGGAGAATATCAATACTGCTGAATGGGCAGGTTACATAAGGGGGGGGGGGGGTTTGGGGGTTTCATTTTTTTTTACATACGGTCAGATGTGATGTTGCATTAAGATGATTAAGACAGATTATTCATTTTTAAACTGATTAAAACGTGTGTTCATTTATTATGCTATTTTTGTTTTTGTAAGTTGAAAAATTGATTGTAGTGAATATGCACGATGATTTTGATCGATTTTTTAAGCTGAATTGTTTACTTTGTGCTATAGAGCCGAGGGTTGAATTCCATTTACGAGAGTGGTAGAACTCCATTTACGAGGGTTGAACTCCATTTACGGGAGTGGTAGAACTCCATTTACGAGGATTGAATTCCATTTACGAGTGGTAGAACTCCATTTACGAGGGTTGAATTCCATTTACCATAGTTTTACAATGATCAATGATCAATTCAAATTAGCGACGGATTAACAAAACGCCATCGTTAAATTATTGGTGTCTGCGCACTTTCTAGCTTCT